ACCGTTTTGGGGTTGGTGGAAAAAAAAAAAAAAAAAAAAAAAAAAAAAAGTAGAGTGCAGGAAGTGCAGTTAAAAGAAGGATCCTGGCAGTGGTTTCAGCACAAGGGGTGTTCTCTGGAAGCAGAAGGACAGGAGGTGTCGATGGTACCCGAGTACTCTGTTGTAGGAATGCTGCAGTTTCTTACCGAGGTCCATGTTGTGTTGCAGGACATGGGAAGAACAGAAGGCAGAGCATGCTTTTTTAAAGCGGGTGACCTGGGGTCAAGCCCAAGCCTATCCTGTCAGTCAAGGACTCGGATCTGAAGGCACTGCTCTCTGTTGGTGGACTTGGAATCGCAGTTTGTCTACACTGTCCTCTTCACAGTGGAGTCTTTTTATTTCCAACCTGCAGATTATGTTTTTATATTTGTTGTCACAGTGTGACAATTTTTTGTACAGTTGGTTTTAAGGTCTCCTCTGCCACTAGAGCCAGTAGGTTACAGCTGTTGATGTAACTGTAGCTGCAATTTTTGTGCAGGACTGAGAAACACAGTGCATTATTTATTGCGGAATCATTGCTGCTAAATAACTACTGTCTGTATAGTTAACACAACAGTTCCATGCCTGAAGAAGTTGCAATGGCTTTATAATATGTGAATGCATCTGTTTCTCTTCAGAAAATGTTCTACTGCTGCGGGGTTATTTTGTATTTCTCAAACTGCAGTGTTTCCTGGAATGTAAACATAGCTTTGCTTGGCTATAGGTGAACCATCTTTACTGCTCTAAGTTCTTGGCACTTAATTCCTTATTTAACATTGGAAGTATGTGTTGAAGTAGTTGAAAATTTATAATGCATATTATGTTTTTGAGAAGCACATGGTGAGACAGTTGATTCAAACAAGTGAACAGTAACTGTTATTTGCTCTCAGATCCTCTGGTAGTTATTGATAAGTTACAGCATGTAGACTGGATGATAAACTTTGTCAGGCTCACTCCAGCATAGCGTATTTGCACATTGTGGTGCATATGGGGCCTGCAGAAGCAACGACTTTTTTACCTTGTTTTTAACTTGGAAACACAAGCAGTAAAAAGACGATTCATACACCTTGGACCCTGGCTTACTTTTGAAGTTTAGAATCGTTTCATTACAGAGGAACAGGACAACTAATGGCAAGAACGTGGGAATAATGTCACACTTTTCCTACCTTGTTGCTTTCCCATCTGCTCATTATTCAGTTGAAATCAACTGGAAAGTTGCAAGTTTGTACTTGATAAGAACTCACTAGACTACAGAGCTTTTACAAGGGGAGGGAACTTTGAGAGTTTTTCAGATCTTAGATGTTATCTGTTTACCAGAGCTAGTAAACATGTTACTTCTATGCTTATGCATCTCAGTGAGTATCATAAGTACACCCTTGGTGATGGTTACAGTATTTTTAAGCATTTGTGTTCACCTTTATGAACCTATTTGTTTAGTGCATCTTAAAGAGACTGTAAATCTTTATTGGTATATTTTGAAATGGTCATGTAAATCTTTGGCTGGTATATCATGAAAATAGTCATAGGTAACTTAATTTTTCCTGACATTCACTGTAAAACATTCAGGGGTCCTACCATTTCTGTTCAGGAAATCTTGTAGTTTATTGTTATTTAACAGTATTAAGTGAATTTTTGTATATTTCATTTTAACTTTATTTGTGAATAGTGATTGTGGCATGTTTGGGGGTGTTTTATTAATATTTCATTGATACTGGTCAATTTGAATTGGGTTGGTTTATTTTTTTTTTTTAATTTTCTGGCAGAGAAAAGTTCACGTGTGATGGTGACTATCGGACCACTACTGCTTTTCAGCATTTGTAAACCGGTTTTACGTTAAAACTTGTAGACCTAACAACCTGCTGTTATTTCTAACTGACCGACCTGTATTAATATTGTACTTTTGAAAGTATAAATATGATGTGGAATTCTTGGGTTTGTTCTGAAATTTATAATAACAAAGGCCCTGTGTTGTTAAAAATACAGACTAAGTGACCTTGCGGTTCTTGGGGCATCGTTGGAAGCGCTTAGCTAGGTCTGTGTCTTGAGAGAGTCGTCCGTTTTATCTTTGGCCACTTATCGGTTGATGCAGAAGTAGTGGCAGTGAAAAGGAGCGCGACTCCTCCGTGACTGAGGCCGTCGGGGATCGCAGCGTACACGTGGTCCGTAGTCTGTTCTGAGCAAGTCCTGCCTGTCACAGGGTGTCACAAGTCTTGCCTGGGGCGAGGAGCGTAATCCGTGTCTCAGACGCATGCAGGGGTCTCCCATGGGTACCGGCGGGAGCGGTACGTGTGTGTCAGAGGCACGTTTGGCACTGAGGGAAAACCTTTGTCCTGAAATAGTTGTTATATATTTTTTTATAGTTGCTATGGATCTGATCTAGATTTTATACTGATTAACTTTGTAGGAAATAGTTGTAGGCGTGATGGTGTCGAAGCAAGAGGTATCAGAAAAACATCTTTTTTTACAGAAGTAGCGCAAGAGATGGAGTAAATGTTCGCTGTGGGTAAATGTGGGGTTTAGCATTTCTAGAACAGTCATTTTATAGGTCATAAAAAACCAAGTAACCATGTGACACTAAGGAGTAAAGGACTTCAAGGTTTAACCAGTAAAGTGAAGTGCGTTAACAAATTTAGAAAGGGATCGGCTGCAGCTAACAAAAGGAGGTTTCCATTTTAAGTAGGAATTCAGCTGGTTTGGTTACAGATGAAAAGATCTTCCATAAATTAAAGCACTGTTTATGGAGAGATTTTTCTAAGGGCCTGCAAGTGAATCGGTTTGCTTCATTAGGAGGTAGGTTTAAAGAATGTATTTCTTGAGAAAACTGGCATCCGTAGTCAAGGCAGTTTCTGGTTTGGTTCTTTTTTTTAATTGCCTATAATTGAATTTCCTGCGCCAGCAGAGACCGCTCTGCGGCAGCTGACTGTTCGGGGCAGTAGTCGTTGAGTCCAGAGTCGCTGGGCGTTTCTCTGCCACCCTTTTCGTGCAACTCAGTGTTCTGCCTCCTGACGGCGTCAGGCGCCACGGGCTTGGTTGCTCTGTCCCCAAGAACTGAGGGACGGTTGGCTTTGTTGGGAGGAGACCTCAACCGTGCCAAAAACCAAGCAGAGAGTCACGAAGAGCGGCTGACTTCCAAGATTCAGTGTGACAACCTGTGCTCGACAAGCGATCCATTAGTGAGGAATGGCCTGCAGGTTGTTGTGGATGAAGTAGTTATTCCGAGAAGATAGCCGGTGTATCCCGTCTACCTGGGGGTAGGAACGCCAAGGTGTGTGTACAGGTGGTGCAGGAGTATGGTGGGCTTGGAGGCTGGGAAGAGGCAGGTGGTGACGAGGCTGCGTGTGCACGCGGGTGAAGGCTGAAGGGGAGAGAGGGCGGGTGGAGGCTGGGGACGGACAGGACGGAGCGGGAGACTGAGGGGCAAACCAGCTGCTCGGCAGTGCGCTAGTGGGACGTGAATCTCGACACGGCTGTGTTCTTTTTGTGCTGCTTTACCACAGCATTAAGTAGCCAGAGTGTATCCCTGAATTGGGCAATAAAGGTTAAAATAAACAATTATTAAAGAATCAACATCCTTTGTACTGGCAAGTCATTTGAAAAAGAGCAAGGTGTAGTGTTCTTTGGGCTGCTCGCTTGTGTTTGCACGCGAGTTTTTCCATGTAACAGAGGTACATTGTTTCTGGTTTGCGGTGTTAAGGTGGAATTAAGGTTAAGAACACATTCAGTTATTGAGGACAAAATGCATGGAAGGCATGTTGTAAATATCCACAAGCTAAATATTATAAACCCAGGAAATACCTGGAATTAAGGTCAGATTTGAAAGAAATCCAAACAGATGAGGCTGTGGAAATGCACAACTGTAGTGACAGTGAAGAAAAATCACAAATGAGCTTGTCTGTGACACCACGCGGTCCCAGGCGCGGTCGTTCGTCTGGTCACTAACAGGCAGAGCTGAAGTCATTCTTGTGCCTTGCTGGCCTGTTTCAGTACCCTTTTTTCCCTTAGTAAAGTTTGGTTTTGAAACAAATGCAGTATTTCTGTGAAATTTCTTAATTTGAGGGAGGAACCTGCATGCTTATTACAGTTTGTTTTGGGAGTTTTTATTTTTCAGAGACTGGGCTGTTCGAGATGTAACGCTACTGCTTGGCCTGTGTGTGGGTCAGCAACATCCGTGTGTCTCGCCAACGTCCATGTCAGACCAGTTTAAGAGACTGACAAGGTAACAAGTATAGGCTATAAAACACGAAGTGCTGTGCAGTGTTCAGCCAATTGGTGCATTGCAAGGTGAGCTCTGGCTGGGCTGGTGGGATGATTTTGAAGAGCCAGGTAGGTGCATGGGCTTGGTAATTCGCACCATCCAGCCTCTTCATCTGGGGGGTTCAGCTGCACAGAAACCACACTCTTGTTCTAGGCCGCAGTGGAAGTTCCTGTTGTCAGAACTGGGATTAGAATTCAGCTAGTCTACATTTTGATTTATTTAATCTTTTGTGTGTGATTTCCACTGGGCTGTACTGTGCTTCTCTCATTAAGTGAAAGGAAAAGATTGATGCCAACAGAAAACGTGTACGTTACAATTTTCCATTATTTTCACGTTTTCAAAAATCCCTTAACTCATTTAGGTTTTGCAATTTTTGAGCCAACACTGTGAGCGCACACACATGCACATACTTACTGTGGTAAATAGCTGCTTAGTTTATTGTCCGGGCTGCATCCTCCACAATCCATGATGAAGCAGGCCTGCCTGAGCCGACTGCTTGTATCGGCTTGTATTGCGTCGCCTCGAAGATGCTCAGAGGGCTGGAGCACCTCTGCTATGGGGACAGGCTGAGAGAGTTGGGCTTGTTCAGCCTGGGGAAGAGAAGGCTCCGGGGAGACCTTATTGCCCCTTCCAGTACCTGAAGGGGCTACAAGGAAGCTGGGGGGGGCTTTTTACAAGGGTCTGTAGTGACAGGACAAGGGGTAACGGGCTTAAATGGAAAGTCGGGAGGTTTAGATTGGATATCAGGAAGAAATTCTTCCCGGAGAGGGTGGTGAGGCACTGGAACAGGTTGCCCAGAGAAGCTGTGGATGCCCCATCCCTGGAAGTGTTCAAGGCCAGGCTGGATGAGGCTTTGAGCAACCTGGTCTAGTGGAAGGTGTCCCTGCCCATGGCAGGGGGGTTGGAACTGGATGGTCTTTAAGGTCCCTTCCAACCCAAACCATTCTGTGATTCTGTGATCATGAAGCATATGGTCCTCCTAGTGAAACGCGTCTTGTTCAGCTCAGATGCCATACCTTGAAACACATGCTTCCCCAGACGGCCATGAAGTTCCTTCATTTGTTGCAGCGGAATCTTCTTGCCAATGGAGCTGCCATCGCTGTGGATTGCACCCGGGAGCGAATGCTCTTCCTTCCTCAGCATGTTTCGTGGAGGGGGAGGTGCATCAGCGCTGCCTGCTCCTCCTCTTCCACGTCCTTTTCCTTAATTTGCAGAAAGAGGCAGCTGGCCTGGAGCCACATTAGGAATAATTAAGGTTACATTTATCTATTCGTCCTTCTTGCAGGGTCGACATGGGCTGATGGGAATCTTAAGAAAAAAACCCCAACATGTCCTCGAGCCCTTTTTTCTAGGATGCTTTTCTACAAATCCCCCCCTTCCCGAGGCAGGCCACGATGCCGATTGCTCCAGAGGCCTTGCCTGACTGAGGTTCATTCTCCTTTTTTCATTTAAATGAATTTATACTCCTCATTAATGCTGGCAATTTCTCTGCCCTCAAGAAATAGGCTTGTACTCCATCCGTGTAGGCAGAGCACTCGCATGTTAATTGGTCAGAACAGTTCGTGTTTGGGGCTAAAAGGGATTTCACGAGTCGCAGTTTTCTGCCGACTTAGTAGAGGTGTGCTTAAATCTGACAGACGTTGTTTGTTCCTCCGAGAGGATGGAGAGTCTCAAGGTCAGAAGGGAACAGCGATGCCCTGACGTAAAAGACTTCCTGCACTTAACTGTGCCTTTTCCAAAGCCACTTGGTGGCCGTGATGGCACCTGGGGGTGCTTCCTGTAGGCACAAGA